CCCCGCCCCTCCCTTTCTGGTCGCTGATTGGTGGCGGCGCCAGGCCGCGCGAGGAGGGGCGGGCCCCCGCGCGGCTCCCGCTCTCCGGTTCGGCGCGTCCCGCCCGCTGGTGGGTGTGTCCAGGCGGCGGGTGCGCGCGCGCTCGCTCGCGTCCGGGGACCGGAAAGGAGGCGGGGCCGCAGCGGCGCGCCCCCACTCCCCCCACCCTGGAACGCTCGGCGCAGGCGGCGCGGCTCGCAGGGAGGTGGACCGCGGCCGGAACGGGGTCCCGGGTGTGCGTGGGGAGCGGGTTTCGGGGCGTCGGCCGCGATGAACACGGTGCTGTCGCGGGCGAACTCGCTGTTCGCCTTCTCGCTGAGCGTGATGGCGGCGCTCACCTTCGGCTGCTTCATCACCACCGCCTTCAAAGACCGGAGCGTCCCGGTGCGGCTGCACGTCTCGAGGATCATGCTGTGAGTACGGCCGGGGTCGGGCGGCGGGGCCGGGCGTCCGGGCCGGGCCGGGGCGGGGGGCAACGAGGCCGGGCTGCCGCGCGAACCCCCTCCCCTCCCCTCCCCGCCTCCCCGAGCGGCCTTCGCCCCCGGGCGGATCCATTGGGGGCTCTCCCTCGACTCCCACCCTCCGCCGCACCTTCCCGGGCTTGCTCTTAAATGTTCGTTTCGAGCGTTGCTCGGGTCGCTGCCTCTGCTTCCTTCCTGTGCCTCACTTCCCTCGCCCGCGCCCGGCCAATAAGGGAGCACCACACCAGCCCAGCGGGCCCGCCCGGCCGCACCCCCGCCGGCGCGGGGCTCGGGGTCCCGGGTGCTCCCGGCCCGACTCGCCCCCCGACAGCCTCTCCGCGGGGTCCGTCCCCCTCGTCCCGCCGCCGAAGGTACCCGCGGCGCCTGCGAAGTTGGCAGGAGAGGTTCGGATGCCCGGGGAGGAGTCGGCCTTCCAGCGCTCCCAGGCGGCGTGCTTTTAATTTTATTTATGAAGGGCCAGCCGCTTGAATAAATCTGCGAAAATGCCCGAAATAGAATTTTGAAATGACATTGTCCTTTCGCTAATGCCCATTTTTTATGCTAATTTTTATTCTCTGGCACTTTCTTCGATTCGTAGCTTTTTCCCCCCCTCTGGTTCTCGTGTTCTTATCTGTGCCATCTTCCAACGAAAGCTCCCTCGTCTTCAACCTTAGTTTTATTTCTAAGTCACAAACGCCAACAAGCCAGGCATCTAATGGCTATTCCCCACTTATTTTTTTTTTCCTCCCTGCATTGATGTTTGTTAGGTACTCTTTTTTAGATTCCGGTAGACTCAGGCTGGACAACACGAGCGCTGTCTGCTCTGGGAGGGCTTAGAAGAGGATGGCTCATGGTACACACTGAACAGCTGTTAGCTACTGTGAACCTTGAGCAAGCTTCCTACCTTCCTGGGTCTTCATTTCCTTTTGTCGGAAGTGGAAGTAATACCCAACTCGTAGGCCTGTTGTGAGGATTGAGATAATTGTCAAAACCACATAGTGGCCCTGACCCGGACGCATATGTAGTACGTGCACAGTGAATAGTAGTTGTTCATTTAATCTTGGTTTCCATACCACCTTGCAGTCAAATGTAATTTTCTTCTACCCAGTCTACCAAATCAATTGACATCGAGTATTTCCACATTCTATGAGCGCTTTTTTTCTCCCCCTGGGTTTTGTTAGGGGTTCTTTGAAGGTAAATGAAAATAGCTGAAGACCTACTTCTGTAGTGGATTAGAATGTTTCTATTGTCACACTTACCAGTTTCTCTGATTTTTACTTGTTTCTTTGTGGGATACAGCTAGACCCTGTCTTTCACGTATGTAAGGAATTTTGTGACTTTTGTATGCTGTTATGTTTGAAGGATGGTGAAACTATTATCTTTATTTCTAGAAAAAATGTAGAAGACTTCACTGGACCTAGAGAAAGAAGTGATCTGGGATTCATTACATTTGATATAACTGCTGATATCCTTTTTAGCAAATATTTCATTGCTCTTTCTCTAGTATTACAATGATATACATATTTAGTGATTTGGGGGACAGTAAGTATGTTTATCCATTGAATCAGTCAGACCTTGGAAATTTCTATGCCTGTGTTTTCATCAGTATAGTCTGTTAGTACCTCCTCGTTCAACCTTGAGAAAACTTGTATTTATAGATTGATGAGTTATTATTGTGTGAACACACTTTAAATTCTTCACAGAAACATTAAATAGATCTAAAGCTATAAGAGAGTTTGAATTTGTATTTAGGAAAGAAAATAAAATTAGATCATTTAGATTAAAGACGGAAGAATGTAACCACTACTCAGCCTACCTAGATGTAACGTTTCATGTACAATCCCCAAGAATATGTCCATGTTTTGTGATAGCAGAGAGAAACCTATGTTGAAAAAGTGAATTGCATCTGCTGTGATTCAGAAGGTCATTGTCAAATGATTATTGGTAAACCATATTAGCATTTTGCCGTTATCGTTCTTTTTATAAGTACTTTTATAATAAGAGTCAGAGAAATCGTAACAATTAAAAGAGTTATTTAAAATGGACGTGATTTAAATATTTTCTCTTTATTTTGAATTTCCACCTTTTGACACCTCTGATCACTGGGCCAGTTTAATCTTCTGTTAGGGTCTTAGATTACTATCTTGGCAGCATTGTTACCTGCCACTTCTGGGATCTCATCTGCCTTTTTAAGACCCCAGGATTAAAGTTGGTTATGGATATTGAACTGTCTGACCTTGTGTAAAGCAACTATCTGAACAGTGGAAGCAGATTATCTACCTGGGGAGTTTACCTGACATGTCTCTTTACTAGCCTGGAATTACTTTTAACTTGACTTTTTTAGAAATAAATTACTAGGTTTAGAAGTAGACTAGGAATTAGTTCTGTAGGCACTTTTTTAGGAAATAGAGTACACCATCAGAAAAGTCCTGTGTTAAACTTTTGCTTTTAAGTCTTCATCTCTTTAAAAAAAAAAAAAAAAAAACTAAGCTAGTGAGAGGGAGTTTGGAGCTAGTGTGAAAGTAGGAACTTTGTGTATGTGGGCAATTATAGTGAAATTTAATTTCATCATTTGTAGTTTAGATTTTCTTAATATGGCTGCTAAAACTTGAAATTGTACCTGTTTTTATAAAGAGATATTTAAGACTTCTGAATTCTAAAATAGTGATTTTTAGTGGATACACATACCTAAGAGTGGAATGTCATGAACATGTAGCTGTTAGTATATAAACAGATATAATAAAATGACTTAACCATTTACATATGATGCTTAATGAAATCCAGACATTAACTCAGTTCATTTCTCAGTGACACACCAGTCTTGTAATTAATCCTGGTGAGTTTTTTTCACTCGGGTGCAAACTAATGAAACCAGATTGGTATTCAGCTGTGTACTCTTACTAAAGCACTTCATGGGTTGAGACGTTTTGATGTCTACTGGCATATGTCCAAAAATAATATGTACAGTTTACCGTACTTGGTTTAATTACTTGAACCTAGTTCACTTTTGCTTAACATTAAGTTATATTGTGGTGATTGGTTATACTCAGAACTCCAGTGGAATCATATGTGCTTGACATACTAAGTCCTTTCTTTTAGGCTTAGTGGGTTGATTTTACAGAAAGCGAAATTTTGTATTTCGCGGTTCAGTTTGTATTAATTGAAGTATCTCAGGTAGTAGCGCTTAGAGGAGCAGAGGGCAGGGTACTGATACTCTCACTGATATTTTTTGACTTTGGAGTGAGCTGGATTTTATAGTATATCATCTTCTATATATTTTTATTAAATTAGAGGCCCAGTATGTTTCTGGGCCACCTCTCCTTTTTTTTTTTTTTTAATTTTAGTATCAGTATTGCTATGAATAATTAAGAATAACTAAAATCTGTTTTAAAGTTGTATGCTGCTTTATGATTTATATATCCCTTAATTTATATACATCTAGAAAATATATTTGATTGGAATGTTAAGCAGTTGTTTCTTTATTTATCAGCCGAATATTCAACAAAAAATAATGTAAGTATATGTATAGAAGTATTTTCATAGATATTTAAAACCTCATTCTTTAGAAAAGAATATAAATTTTATATATTCGAAATATCTGACCTGAGTAATTTAGTAAATATCACAAGCCCATGGAAAGGTGACTCTACTAAGAAAACTTTATCTCCTTTGGTAGCTTCTGTCTTTTTTGTTTTTCTGTCTGCTTCTACATCCCCCCTGCATTGTGGTTCCCAAGAGTGGGGTGCAAGCAAGGTAATGCCTAGATATATAAGGAAAACAGTTAAGAGCTACTATTTCTTTTCTTATGGATCTAAGAAGAGTTGCCAGATTTTCAGTTTGTTCAGCTTTTTACTTGGCGTTAGGATGCAGTGGCAAGTTGCAAGCTCCTCATGTGCCACGCCGGAAGCCAAAAGTCCGTTTTATGTATTTCTCAATTTAAAATAAGAGGGAAAAGACGTGAAATTTTACTGATACTCACTCTATGGACTGACACTGATACTCTACTCGGTCCTTAAGTCAAATGGTCACACGCCTCCTAAAATACGCACCTTCTCTGGAGGAAGAGGGGGAATTCTGTAGGGCAAGTGGTCAGCTTGCTACATACATGTATCCGTTCACTTTCAGCATTTTGCAAAGTTGTGCAATGTGTACCCAATTGAGTAGGTTATATCATCAAGTTTTAAATAAACTAATCCTCACACATGGAAAAATGGTTAAAAAATTCTTTCAAAGAAATTAGAGATTGAAGAGAATGCTAACAGTCCAGACACGTGTGAGCGACAGGAAAACGGCCGAGCTGACAGCCATGTTAAAGGATTAAAAAAAAAAAAATCAAAGAGATCTAATAAATAGTTGGCTGAGAACAATTTAGCATTAGTCAAGAAGCCTATGTGAAATGCACATTTACATTCACTATCAATAATAATATATCTAACGATAATAGTAATGTGTATCATGTACGTAATTTGTAAATAAAGATGCATAGTTTGGGTTGGTGTTCAAAATAATTCATTATCAAAAATCTTTGGAGACTATTTCCAGTGATAAGCTCCAAAAGGATGTTGCTGAACTATGGGTTATGAGGAAATGAGAAGGTCGAATTACTCCTCAGCTAAGTCCTCTTTAAGCTAAGATATTCTCTCTCCACAGCTACCATTAGAGATAGACGGCAAGATACTTGAATCAGTGAAATTTGTAACTTGTGCTTACAACTCTGTTACCCAGATATGTAATCAAAAACTGTAAAGATAACTAATTTGTGAATTGTCTCTTAGATTATTTTAAAATCCATCCAAATATTTATATTTTTCCTCTTTTAATACATGATGTGAGCTGTTTTGATAGTCTTTTATTAAGCCATATATCTATAATTAATTTATATTGAGAAATACATTACTTTGTTTTGAGTTGTACAGGACTCATCAGTTTGAACACTTAAAGTAGTCTTTTTAATTATAAATTAGAGTTGATTAGAACTTTTATAATTAAAAGCTATTAAACTGTTAGATTAAAACCTATTATAACATTATTAAAACTATTAGTTTGTGACTGAAATTTATTAGTCCAGTCTGATTTAGAGCTTTTGTTGCAGATAAGAGTAAGGGTTAAAATATTTATATAGCATATTGAAAAAACAGAAATCTTCTTAGGTCCTAAAAGTGTAAGGTGAATGATTCTGGTATGTGCATTAACTCCGAAAGGTGAAATCTGTGGAATCAAAACGTGCTTCTATGTTGTTTTTACCTGAGTTACCCTTATGTTTTGTTATCAGCATAGCCTGAGGTAATTCGTAGTTAAGAGATGAGTCTACTTGTGTCTTGTATTTGAACTGTATATTCATTTTCAAGGGATGGCAAATTAATCAACTTTATTTGTTGATTGGTTTGATTAGTTAACTGGAATCATTAGCACTTCAATTCTTTGTATGTTTATTTTGAGCATATCTCTTATGGAGGATACTTTGTTGGGCAGTAAGAATATTGGGTTGAATAAGTGTTGATCGCTGCCCTTGAGAATCAACAAAGCGTTAAACAGAAAAAGCCCCTCTGAAGATAAGAGTGACAGCTGTAAGCACAAGTATTCTACAAGTTTCAGCAAGTGATCCAAATAAATATGTCACCTTCTTGGTGATGGATATACCTGAGTCAGATTCATAACTGATTTACTCCAGCATGGCTAGTAAGTTAATACAGTTTGGAATTTGACAGATCACTGCTTTGGTGAATGAACAAATATACATAAAAAGTCATTTTACTTTGGTATGTCTTTGATTCTGCGTTCTTCAGTCTTGATGTTTCTGTTTAATGTTGGAGGGTTTAAGGTGAAGACTTGAACCCCTTTTTAGAAATTAACTGTTTCCACATTTCTTTTTAGTTAATGCTGAGCAGTTGGCCTCACAAGCTAATGGATGGTGGCTTCATAAGAACACATTTCTTGGCATTTAGAAGTAGTTACAAATGTGCTTTTTCTCCATTTCGTAACTCTAATTTTCCAAACGAAACTTGTTTATGATATGTCAAAGCAGTGGCTTAAAAGAATTGTCTGACTTCTAGGATTTTGCCATAATAAAACAATAATGTGCCTATGTTTTCTTAAAGGAAAGAAAAAACCTAAAAAGTCTTCATTTCTTTAGTGATTCCTTGATAATTTAAAAACCTTGGAGATATATAAATTTTCATGAGATAATGTAGCAGCAGTGACCTGTATTAGCAGTGTGATCTACAGGGATTAGTTCTCTCTGTTTCCCTGGCACCATGCAGTGTCCACAGAGTTGGAGGGTCTCAGAAATTTTACAGGGAAAAGTGATTTAAAAGAATGCTTCCCTTCTAGGGATTCTAGTGCCTTCTGTTTCTCCTAGGGCCTCACTCTGGAGAGCACGTAAGTCTAAAACCTTGCATTAAACTTTGAGGGCTCTAAATAATACAGTTACCTTGGCAAAAGGGGTGACTTCCTTTAGGGAAGTATCTTTCTTTTGTCCAGAAGTTTCACTCCTGTATCTATCCACTTGTTACCATTTTGTCTGCTTTAAGATTTTAGCAGTTCCCTCAAAGTTGGATTCATTCATATAAATTAAACTCTTTGCTTAACATACTTCTGAAGTGACAGACATGCTATATCTGTTGAATTATCTAATTAATTTTTATTTTAATGTAGGCTCTGAACCAGGTTGTTCTGTGGGACAAGATTGTTCTGAGAGGTGATAATCCAAAGCTGCTGTTGAAAGATATGAAAACAAAGTATTTTTTCTTTGACGATGGAAATGGTCTCAAGTGAGCAATTCTTTGTCATTTTTTACGTGTGATGTTACATGAAGGGGAGAGAAAGACGTGATGTGTTTTTATTTTAAAGAAAAACAGCTAAAAAGAAAAGTTGAGAGAGAAGAAAAGTATTTATACAGATGTGAACTGGAAGATGGGGTAGAAACAGTACCGTGCAAACCCAGGTCTAAAGAAGTGCCCGGTTCTCTCGCGTTATGGGAACTGTGATGGTGAGACGAGGAGGGCCTGGGGCTTCTGCCCTTAAGGGTACAGGGAGCCTGGGCTGCTGGCCCGGGAGTGGGACTGTCGTCAAAGGACTCCTTCGGGGGTGTCAGAGGAGCCTGCCTGGGAACCTGAACGAGGAAGCCGCGTGTTGGTCTAGGAGTTGATACTGAAGTTTCTAGTTTCGGTTCACTTAATCTCTCTGAACCTCAGCTTCCTTTTATACAAAATGAAGGAATTAGAACGATTGATCTTTTGGGTCAGTTTTAGCTCTTAAGCTCTGTGGGTCAACTTTGGAAAGGATTTTAGGGGAGAGCTATTTTAACCAAACCTGGTTTTGCAGATGAAAAGTTTCCAGCCCTGAGAGAGTTTGATTGATTCAGGTTTGCCCATCTGCATAATGATAGAATTAGGTTTCAAATCATTGTCTCCTGATTTCTAGCTCAAATCTCTCTGTTTTCTGTGTTTTACTCATTTAAGCATTTTGGTTGATGGCTCGAATAACTGTGACTTAAGTGACTTGAGGAGGGTCATTATGGGGGACCTGCAGTGAGAATGCTGCTGTTTCCCAGCATCATCTTGGATTTCAAACGACTTGAGAAGAACTTGTGTGTAGATTAGAATTCCAATTAGGAATAGCTGGTTAAAAGTAAAGTATTTGATACCTCAGTGCTTGAATTAAAACGTTTTTATTGAACTACAAATGTTTCTGCTGACATCTGTTTATTATATCTTTTTATAGGGGAAACAGGAATGTCACTTTAACCCTATCTTGGAACGTTGTACCAAATGCTGGAATTCTACCTCTTGTGACAGGATCAGGACATGTATCTGTCCCATTTCCAGATACATATGAAATAACGAAGAGTTATTAAATTATTCTGAATTTGAAACAGCATATTTTTATACCTAATGAATTGTATCTTGTTTATCTCTTCCCTTGCATCATTATTTGTTTTGGGTTGTTAACTTTTTTTTTTTTGGTGTAAGAATGAAGATCAAAAGGCATATTTGAAGGGAAAGGTTAATGTACTACTTAATTTTCCAAACAAAAACAAACAAAGGCCATCAGAGTGGAGTATTATAAGAATAAGACAGCCACATGAGAAGGATTTGTGAAATATTTATATTTGAAGTATTCCCTGTGTTTCCATTATTCTTTATGGAATATGAAGTGAGCATGAAGGGTAGTTAAAACTTTCAGGTGCCTGTGGAGTTATAAGAACTCTATTTATGCCTTGCATTTATGCAAGTTCACATTGGATGTGATTTAGAAGCAGACATTCTCTATTACCTCTTTTAGGGTATGTCTGAATACTGGAAAAATTAATACAATTGTTGGTGAGAAGGCTGGTTTACAAAATAGCGAAAAGTGATGAATTTTATTCCGTTTGTCTTAGGAATGCCCACAATGCTTGTTTTTCTGACAGGTGACTAGCAACTTTCTCCACTAAAGACTAAATACCTCTTTATATGCTGTAAATCATTCTAAATCATTTTAAAGTCTCTTAAGTCAACCAAATGTGTGTCTTTCAGTGCTTTCTCTAAAAAAGTTCCTTGGTATTATATCTTTGTGTGATTCTTTTTTTTTTTTTTTTAACATTGCCATTGAATGTTGAAAATGTTTGCATGGTTTATCTAGTGAGCATGCCTAGTGCCACGGAGTGGTAATTATTTAATTATTTTTCTAGGTCCACATTTGAATAATTATTGGGGTAATAATAATCGATATGTGTTGGTGTGCATTTCCATTCACAGGCACTCATATATTTTACTGTATGTGATCCTCAGTAATCTAATGAGGTAAGTAGTGTAAATGTTAGCTCTTTGCAGATAAGGAAACAGACCCAGAAGTTTGTGGAATTGCTTCAAGGTTATTACATAGCTAGCAAGGAAGGGTGTTAACCCTTGAACTCAGATCTGATTCTTTAAGCATATCCTTTTTTTATACCTCCGATTACAGACTAGTCAAAATTCACTTATATAATTTTTATTATATTTTTTGTTACCCTGGACGCCCTTTCTATTACCTAGAAGAGATTTCCTGTCTTGTGTGGAAATGACTAATTTTCAAGTTGCCAACAATTTATATAGAGGTAATATCTCACTCATTCTCTGCAGAAATTAATTATACTCATGTTAAAAGTATAAGAATCCAAATGTATGTAAAAATTATTTAGAGATTGATTATATGATCATATTTAACATGATTTTTTCCTACAGTGGGCAAATAAGCATCCTCAAAGGAAGCAACTACAAATCAGTCACCCTTAAAAGTAAGACCAAACACTGTAGGTACATTATCAGCAGTAACCAAAAAGGGCTAATATTTTCTAAGAATAGCTTACATTAGTGGCTTAACATTTATTATACTTATTTCATATGAAATACATCTCCGTTTAATTGCATTGGTTGGAACAGCTCTTACCTGTAAGGGTGTGTGTTCTGTGAAGGTCAGTTGAAGGTCAGAAGTACAGTATCATGAATGCTAGACTGGGTTTGGCTCCCAGCTTTTTCATTAAACTTTTCAGGGTCTCCGTTTCTTTATCTGTAAAATGACAGAGTTGGACTAGTTAGCTTAAATAGTAGTTCTTTTTTACCACACACGTCTGTAAAATTTGTTGGATCCGTTTGGCAGAGAGATTGAACAGAAAAGCACCTCAGTAATGTGACGGGCAGCCAGATGATTGAAAGACAAGTCAACACATAATTCATATTGATCTGACTTTATTTCTGTTAGATTTTACACCCAGAAGATTTAACTTCTTATATAGTTTGTACAAACTTAAAATCTGTCGGCATCAAAGCTTAAAAGTTGGGTGTGTTCTCCTTGAGGCGGGTACACATAAGAAGCCTGCAGCCTTAGCCAGACCCAGGGCTGGTTTAGGTGTTCATGGGCCTCTGCATGTGTGGATCTGTGTTTGCTGGAGATGAATGTGGAAATTTACTCCAGTTCTTGTTCAGTCCAAGCCCACCCACTTTTTGGAGTTCAGTGAGAAAGGGGAGTAGAAAGGCCCCCTAGCACAATGGACGCGTTTGCTTTTACTCACTAGCTGAGGGAAGCTGCTCAGGACAAGAATGCGCCAACATGGGAATAAGAAACCTCCCTCTCAGGAACTCACTTTTGGGTATGCACAGCTTTGTAAGTTCACTGTAATTCTGCACAAAGAAGGTGGACCTGTGTTCAGTTGATAACCATATCATCAACCTCAGCGTCAGTGTTTTCAAGAAGTCTTAGAAGGTCTCCATAAAGACCCAAGGCTTCACACTTTTTTTTTTTTTTTTTTGCGGTACGTGGGCCTCTCACTGCTGTGGCCTCTCCCGTTGCGGAGCACAGGCTCTGGACGCACAGGCTCAGCGGCCACGGCTCACGGGCCCAGCCGCTCCGCGGCATGGGGGATCTTCCCGGACCGGGGCACGAACCCGTGTCCCCTGCATCGGCAGGTGGACTCTCAACCGCTGCGCCACCAGGGAAGCCCCCGGCTTCACACTTTTAATTAGAAACATCTGAGCCCAGGGATGATCCTGGGAAGAGAATAATTGCAAGACACTCATCTAAAGTAATTATGTTTAGAAATGAGTTAATTTTAAGATGTTGTGCTTACATGCTCCTTTTCTCTAGCAGTTTAACCTAGACAAGCAGCTATATCAGTGATAATATTCCCGCAGTTGATTACATTTGGTTCCTTTATGCTTAAAGGAAGATAACAGAAAACTTCAGAAATTCTTTATGGTGTAATAGGAAAAGGGGGTTATTTTGAGCTTCTGTTTTTGGAATTATTTTACAGCTCTTTGGTGGGTCTGGCAACTAAGAGATAGGCTTGAAGGCCACAAGGAACGTTTGTTCACTGTTCTATCTAAAGCTTAATGAGCTAAAGCTTTGGGTCTTTGGGGGTATAGGTTAACGGTGGTGTTATTTTATAATGCTTTGACTTGACCTGAAATGAGTTTATGGGGGGAAAAAACCATAAGCTGTGAATTTTGGTAGTAAACATCTGTCCATTTCAGATGCTTCCCTTGCTTTTAGCAGGCAGCCTGTGTACCTTTTATGTGACTGCCAGTGGTTTAAAGAGATCTGTTTCAAAAAGTGGTTGCATGTTTTGATGCAATTTGGGAAACTTGACAAATACAGATTCATAAGAAAAAAATCCATGAAAATACTGAAGATATGTTTGAGGATTTTCTTAATTGCAATAAATATTCAGCATTTTTCTAATGAAAGTAAATTTTGTTTATGAGTAAAAGTATGCATTTTAAAAGACTTTCTGATTGATGCTTTCTTTTATATGAAGCTGCTGCACTAAGACAAAATGGCTGAAACCAAGTCTAGTAACCTTGAGGTTGTTTTCTTTTTCCCCCCTCCCACCCCCTTTTTTTTTTTGGTGGGGTGGGTCAGGGGAGGTCAGTCACACCTAAAAGATCTTCCTCAGAGACTGCGCTCCTATACTAGACTGTAAGCTCTCCGACGGCAGTCTTGTGGGTTTATCTTTGTATCTTGCCCAGCGCCTAGCAGAGTGCTTTGCACATAATAGGCGCCCAATAAAGGCTGATGGTGAACGAAGTCATTGTCTCTGTAATGTGGCCAGACTGTGGGGACTGCCTTGCAGTGAGTGCTCTCTGTAAGGGCCGCCTTTGTCATTCTTGAGCTCCTGGTGACATTAGATCTGATTCTTCTTCCTTCTGTTCACGCCTTGGGACGACCTGGGCCGGGCTAGTGCCGCTCTGGTTGCCAAGACCTGGGTTCTCCCAGTGCCAGGCTTCTGGTGAGATCCAAGGGGTGGTGACTGGTTGAGAAGATGGATAAAGTAACACTAGAAAGTCACCACACAGACGTGAGTTTAAAAACTCTCAAGATGCCTGTGGAGCTCATGAAGAACCGGGTCAGAATAGACAGCTGGCTCCATTTGAAAGTGTGGCGGGCCCGGCCTCCCGGGCGTGTCGGCGGTTTTGGGCCGCTGCCCTCGCACTCTTGACCCCTGGGACGACCCTGTGAGCCCACTGAGTTGTGGGAACCCTGCTTTTTCTTTCTGTTTCTCAAAAGAATGTTTCCCAGTGAACTCAGACAACTGAAACGATAGAAATACTCCCTCAAAAGAACAGAAAGTTGAATTTAGAGGGCAACTTAGTTATATTTAACCTCAGTGTATTTTATCTGGGACAACACAAGAGGTCAGCCGGGTTTTGTTTTTGTTTTCTCTGAACCTGGGCAATGCTATATCAGAACTTCAGTCCTTAGACATTTTCTCTCACACATTTTCTCTTGGCTTGATGTGTTAACGCGAGGATTCTGGATTCTGCAGCCTGTTGCCTGATGAGTGAGTTATCCCTGTAGAAGGGAAGTGGCCCCGTCAGTAGGTGAGCCTCAGTCTATCTGAATAGACCTCAAGTAACTTTCAGCCAGGCCTTTCCTTCCCACTGGAGAGGGACAGAGAGGTATTTCCTTTTTGGAATATGTGTGCTTGGTGCATATCCCACTGGTATATCTGTTGAGTATGCTTGGGAATAGGGATCTGGGAGTTGAAAGGTAGTTAGTGGTAAAACCCATATTCAGACCCTGGCGTCTGCACCGGAGCTGAATGCCCCTCCGTACAGGCTGTGCTGTTTCGCCAGAAACATGGGGTGATCATAACTTTTCTTCCAGAAGTGCTGGGAGAAGTAAATACATGTGGGAACAGGACCTCCTGGGATTCTTGGCACATGGCAGGTTTTTATTACTTCTGCGAAATGTAGGGCATGTAGGGGAGTTGAGGGAACAGGGCCAAACAGTTCACAGACTTTAAAGTCTCTTAGCAAAGATGCAGGGTTTTTTTTCCTTTTGCCTATAATGGTAGGACAACTTAGGTAGTTATTTCATTTGATGCAAAACACTGAGTCTTCCGCCAATGTTTTTCACCTAAGAATGGAAAAAATCACTTAGCTTGATCATGAAGATTAGTTGATTAATGATTGTGAAAAGTATAGAAAACTTTACCCTCGTTTTAACCATCTGGAATAAGAAAGGCCAGGGAAAAAACAAGGAATAAAGCTGACTGGAAGTTGGTGTGTGAGACAAAACGCACCGACGACGAAGGGGAGGTGGATTTATTCTGGCCCTTGCAACGGGGAGAACGTCTGTTTCTGCAGAAGGATTTCTCAGAAGAGGAAGGAGGCTTGGGTTTCTTAGAGACAGGTAAATAAGAGAGTCCTGCGGAGGTGGGGTGGATGCCATTATTTCTCAGAACATGCGGCCTTGGTGGGCAAGGTTCTGCGCTCAGAAAGTCCAAGGTTGGGGGCTTCTTAACCACTGCTTCCTTCTGGGCGCACAGGGCCCAGGAAGGATTCAGCATTGTCATTGGTTTGGGGAGAGCTAAGAAAACTGCAGAGTCCTCTAGTGGAACAGCATCACCGTGGGTCGGTGTCCAGGAGGTTACAGAGGTCAAGGTAACGTGTCAGAGGCCTCATCAGGAGAGGAAGCGCCCCAAAGAGATGCGGAACCTGAATCAGGTCTATCTCCCATTATTTGTCACTTTCAACTTAAAAGACTGACAGTTCACTGACCACCAGCTCTTTACACTTGATTATACCGTAGCAATCAAGAAATCAAACATGTATTTACTCAGCATCTTTTCTACCAAGTTCTAAGTATTTATTTTTATTTAAAGTCAGTGCATTATATATTCTTATTTCTCTCCATTGGTCATTTGTCTACTTAACAATCCCTGATTACCCTTCTGGTAATGAGCTAC